CATTTATACGATATAAAAAAAAAACCTCGTTTTTCTTCCTCATTGTTATTTTTTTTTAATCAATTTTGTGATTTCTCTTATGACAGGTTCTTTTCCCACTTTCTGCTTCTGTGAATCTGAATTCACTTGCGGGAGATATTTTAAAGTTATTATCTACAGAAGGCATCGGATATGCGTCATCAACAGTTGCTTCGTCAGAGTACAGACTCAGTGACGGTAGACTTTTTGGTGTTGTCAACTAGTGGGGGATTCCTTCTTCATATGCCGAGACTATGAATGCTCTTAGTCTTAGGTTATACTTTGCAAAAATTTAACTGATATTTTGTGTTTTAGGCACTGCAAGCTCCTTATGGGGATCTATTATAATGTATGGAAATGGCCAAGGTATAAAACTGTTCACCACCTGTTTATTTTTTAATGTTTGTTTTCTCCAGAGGCATCTCAAGTTTGCAGTTTGATTCCCCAGCTATCACAGCTGACAAGCATTTTGAATTGTAGGCTGCTGATTTGATTGCTTTTGTGGCATCGGCAAACTCTTTATGTGAAGAGGGTGCATCTGACCTTTTTGATTCATTTGGAAATCAATGCCTTTCTGTATTTAGGTCTATTGGCCTGCCCAGCACTGCTCTTTTAATTCATGTAAGTTCTCAGTTGATTTGTTAAGTGGACTTGTACCATTTCCCATGGAGATAGTTGTGACATGCAGCTAAAAATTTGTCTCCAGGATCTACCTTCTGAGCTTAAAAGGAGAAATGAGTTTAAAAAGTTGTGTACTTCTAGCCTTGCTTCTGAATTTCCTGAGGATTGTAAGTTCTATTCAGCAGACACAAGGGATGATTTGCACAAGGTGGGTTTCTTTGTTGATTCTTATTCTTGTTTACTACTTCCGGCTCCAACATATCTGAGAACGAGACATGTCTAATTTCCATATCTTGATTATTCCTATTTTCTAGCACTTTTCATTGTTTACATTTACATTTGTATCACAGTTTATGTGGCTTTTTAAGGAGCAGGGGCTCACAGCACCTCACTGGCGAAATCCGTGTCCTTACCTCATTGCACAAGAGGTAGTTTTCCAATTGTTTTTAACTTTTATCTTTTAGCCTTACAGCCTATTGTACCATATGTAGTGTATGATGGACACAATGTGAAAGGGTTGGAGGGTTGTTTAACTCTCGTAAAGAGAAGATGAGTAACATGTTGATATTGGGATTACTTGGTGTTAAATCCATTTGTGTTGCTATTAATTTCCTTCTGGTTATTTTCCTGGACAGCCTCTGAAGTTTAATTCCATTTACCTCTACATTTTAGGTTGTTACAGTACCTGATGATTCCAGTCTAGGAAAGAGTACTCTTCTTCTCACTGGTTATATGCATGCACACAGCCTCTCAGTGAATCAGTTGGTAATTAGTTTAGCCTTACCCTTTCATTTTCTCTGGGATGATCTGGTAAGTTGTGTCATGCTTTTCTTTTGCTTCATGTCAGGTCCATGTTTCTGGTGCGGGGATTTTCAGCTGTCCAAAATTGAAATTCTAAAAGATCCATTTCCTCTGAATGCAAGAAAATAACAGGATGCTATGGATTCTGATGAATTAAAAGATGCTAAGGTGTTTGATCATTTCCTTTAATATGAGCAAAGGAATTGAAACTGTGAGATTGATCATGACCAACAAATTCTGTTCCTCTCCTCGGCTGCTTCATGTTTCCTACAGAATGTTCTCGATAGCATTGGGCCTTGAATTTATGTGTTATTAATTCTTTTCCTTGTATCCTGAATACCGTTTCTACCCTATCAGTGGACATGACATCAGACAAATATTTCAATTTTTTTTCCTTGATATTTACACTGATTTAGTGATTATGAAGCTCTTATTGATGGCTTCTTCACTCTTTGGTACTGCTTGAACTATATATCATACTCTCTGAAATTCCAGGTCATTCATTGCGTAGCTCCTGTTCCGTTGAAGCAGGAACCTTTACTTGTTGAAAATGTTCCAGATCCTCTTACCGGACCGGGGAACAGGTAACGTGGAGAAGGATCAAAGCTTTTATATCTTAATGTATGGGGTGATATTCTGGCCCTCTTAAACTTGTTAATAAGGAAGAGCCCCATAATATTTTTTAAGAATGGGGAAAAGAAAAGCCTTCTTTCTCCTAGCATGTAAAAGGATGGAAAACCGTGATTAAAATAAAAAACACATTGTTTTCTTTGCCAAGCAGTCTGTTTTAGTTGTCATTGACAAAGTAATCTAGTTGCCAGAATCCAACCATAGGTGATTGTTTCACATTGTTTTCCTTAACCTTATCTAGCAGTTTAATTTTCATGTAATCCTAACTGCTATTTGTAATAATAATTATTTTTTTCTTCTCTCTCCTGAACAGACATGGCCAACGGAAGCAGAAATGGCTGAGGCTGATAGAAACCTAAAACAAAAAAAGCAAAGAAAGAGAATTCTTCCTCATGGCACCTCTGAATATCAGGTCAGGATGTCTTTCTTTTCGACTTCTCTAGTTTAATATATATATATGTGTGTGTGTGTGTGTGTGTTTGTGTCTTTTTCTTTCAGAATATGATACTATTACTGATTGCAGTATAAAGAAGCATGATACTTATAGTGCCCCTATCAAGAGCAAAGAAGAACTGATATTTCATGTTGGCTTCCGCCAGTTCCTTGCTAGGTAACAAGGATTTATTTGCTCCTTAAGGATTGTTTGGGCTCTATGATTTCATATTGAAGTTTTGTGAGCATTCTCTGTTGCTTGCAGGCCAGTATTTTCTACTGACAACATTAATTCAGACAAACACAAGACGGAAAGATTTCTTCATACAGGTCGTTTTTCCATGGCTTCAATATATGCTCCTATTTCTTTTCCATCTCTTCCTTTGATAGCCCTGAAGAGTTCAGGAGAAGCAACCGTCCCTGTAGTAGCTGCAGTTAGATCCTTGAAAAATATCAACCCCAATAGAATAATTCTAAAGAAGATTATCTTAACTGGGTATGATCTTTTACTTTTTATCTTGCACTATTGTTTAATCATGGTGGTGTTACATGATATAGAAATTCTCTACTCTGCCTTTTTTTTTCTTCTTTTAACATGACAGAATTGTATTAGATATCTCGTACAATTGAGTTATAAGCCTTCATTATATTTTGATGCAGTTATCCTCAACGAGTGTCAAAATTAAAAGCCTCCGTAAGATATATGTTCCATAAGCCAGAGGATGTAAGATGGTTCAAGGTAAGATAGTCTTATATTTGATTTCAAGGGTCATAAGATGATGAAAGAATTATTATATATTTTATTACGTTTGAAATTCTTTATTTGGGTGCTTGTAGCCTGTTGAAGTTTGGACAAAATATGGCCACTGTGGCCGAATCAAAGAACCTATTGGTACTCATGGTATGTGATTTTAGTTTGAATGCCTACTTCACTTGAAAAAAGTGATAGAGCTGCATCTCAATTTGCTACGATTAGAATTCCAGGTCATAAGAATAAGAAGCCTTCTGTTTGGTGGTAACGATTATGGGGACTGGCATAGAAATGTACAAGAAATAAATAGGAGAAACTTAAAATTATAGCTTTCATTTTGGGCCTTAATGATCTATGCTGCATTCACGGTTTTCTGGTAGTTATTTTAGACTTTTTTTTTCCATAAGAGCAAAAACAATGGGCAAATATATCTATCCAAAACGAACATATTCAGACTTTGGTGATCTCTTTGGAATTCTTTCCCAATGTGTTAAGGATGACTTTTTGGTTTTTCTCAGGGGTAATGAAATGTGTATTCAATGGGGTCCTTCAGCGGCATGACACCGTATGCTTGAGTCAATACAATCGTGCAAATCCCCAGTGGCCAGAACATCGGTTACCGCTTGATGCTTGATCAGGCAGTGGCCGGTCCTCATTGAGACAGAAGTCATGCTTTGTTCATGGTGAGAATGAAGCGCTGGTTCAGATTTGTCTATTCAACTTGCATTGGTTGTTGTTTATGGTCGTTGTTGTTGATAGATTACATGCGATTCAGTGAAGTGCGCCTTTTTGCTTTCCAATACCTTTATTTTTTTATTTATGGAGGACATATATGGATGAGGAATATGAAGCAATGCAGCGCTCCTCTCGTTAAAGAACATTGGGGGAAGAAACAGAAAAAGGAAAATCCTGATTTTTGTATTTTGATATCAGTTTTTCTTCTTCTAGTGCCAATACAAAGAAAAAGCAGGAACAGTCCTTACTTTTTCTTTGATATATTTTTTCCAAGATAAGACATTTACATAAATTTTATCATATGTATGGTTGATTCGTTATAACTAAAAACCTAAAAAATAAATGGTTATAAATGTTCATCTATTTCAAATTACCAATACGAGATTAATTAAAAATGTGATACCTCATCAAAAAATTAAAAAAAAAAAAGGAAAAAAAAGAAATTCAATGTCAAAAAAGGAACTTTTACCCGTATGTTGTATGATGGGTACACAATAGAAATAATGCTATAATTAAATTGAAGATTTAAGATGTGTTTATGGCAACTATCGATCATGTTCACTGAGACTAATAAGAACCATCGAAAGGTGAAAAAATTGTAGGTTAAATTACCATTTTGGTCCTTTGACTCTGAGTTTTGGACTAAAATCATCCTTAATCTTTAATTTTCTGCTGAGATGGATAGTTAAGTGACCCAAAAACGCAAAGTTTTAAACCTAAAATATTACATGGAAATTCTAAAATTATTTTAGTAATGAGGTGGATATTTTTAAACCTAAATTTTTCTTTGTTAACATAGGACTTCTTATGTGTGTGTGTGTGTGTTTTTTTTTTTTTTCCAAATTTTGATAGTAAGTTAATTAAAGAATTACTAATTAATTTAAATATGGTGGGACTCACCCACTTTATCCTAATTACTGGAGGAGTACTAATTACCTTACCCTATTATCCGTTAAAAATACAATTAACCTTACCCTATTACAATATACTTTTAAAAATAAAATTATCTTAGCTACTGATTCTTAATAAACTAAATTTAATATAATGGGACCCACTCTAAATTAATCTTCTCTTCTTCCTCCCCTTCCCGAACATCTTTCTCCCTCACTTCAGGCATCTCACTCCCTTCTAAAGCATTATCACAAGTCATGAAGTCATTCCAATTTCATAATGAAATCTAAATCTCTTTTCCATAGGAAAACACAATTTCTTTGCATTTGATTTTTCACAAGTTAGATAGTCATAATGTAAGACATGTAGGTTAGGTTGTATTGAATCCCATTTTATTAGTATGTACAAATTAGATGAAAAACAACCATTCTCCTTAAATTAAAATAAGATAGAGGTGTGCCATTTTGATATCTATATAAAAAAAGACCAACAACAACAAATTCAAATGAACAAAACACAAATGACTAAAAAATTACAAATGATTGGTCGATTTTAATAAAGACACTGGATACAAACATATACCTGAAAAGAGAATGACACAAGACTATGCAAATTTGCATGTATCTAAGTACTTACAATGATTGAAGTTGGTGTATAACATTTTCATCTTGTAGTTGTTGATGATATGTTGTTCTAGACAGTTTGATCCAAGACATGACATCTGGAACAATGTGAGTTAACACCAGCACTATCCACCACTGAGCTTTAAATTCAATTGTGTTGAATAGTAGTGATAGATCTTTAGGAAATGACGTACAAAACTGAACCCACCAAAGCACATAATAGGTTACTGCAACTAGCCATTCTTTATAGTGCACTCGACGTTCAAAACCAGCCAACACCACAATACCATATTTGGCAATAGATAGAATAGCCCAAATCTTGTCTTTGATTCCTTTGGTATTTGTAAAGGGTGGAAACATATCTTTGGGAAAAAAGCTTTGTAACCAAAAACAAAAAACGACATAACTGATTACTACAAATAACCAATCTTTATAATTGGCCATGGAAGATGTCATAAGAGTAAAGTTAAACATGCCATGTGCAATATTTACAACCATCAAAATCAAACCATTGATTTCTTTGGTATTTGTAGAGGGCATTGAGCTATTTGTGGAATTATGACAGAACCTATAGAGACTTCGAAACACAATCAGGACTACAATAGTTAACAAATTTTTATGGTCGGATAGGGGAGATTTGACTTTAGAAGACATGAAGATACTAAGTGCAAAATGTATAGTAGTTGATAAAAAAATAGAAAACACACTAGCACTTTCAGTTGTGGTATTTATACTAGGATCTTCTTCCAAATCCAACCAATACTTATCTAACCAGCTCTTGAAACTGAACAACGCAAAACAGATGGAAGCAATTACCCATGTGGGAAACTTCAACTCATAGCGGTTGTAAGTAATAGATCCAATGACTCCAATGATAAAACTAAACAACCCAAAGTCTGTTTGCGGTCGTAATACCACTAGTACACATAGAAGAAAGATTGAGATGCACAACATAGCACTAAGGCTCCTCAAGGAATTATCATAAAATTTTGCAAAAAGAAGTGCCATAATAAAGAAGATGAAGCTTGCTGTTGAATTTACCATGCAACTGCACCTTCCATGAAGAATTTTTAATTGACTCCAACGCTTTGAATATTTTAATGGGCCAAGGCCAATAAACATCAATAATTGCATTTTGATTCCTCTTCCATCATATTTTGAACTTAACTCTGTATTCAATAGAAGAAACAAGGTAGAGAACAAGGCAAGTTTACCGACTAATTTGGCCTTTAGCTGACCCTTTGCCACTTCGTTGTGAAGATGCATCTCAAGGGCTTCCGATAGATTCTTCATCTTCTCAATAATAGGATTCAACAAAGATCTCATTGTCAATTGGAAATACACCTTGAGGGCTTTCCATTGATTGCTCACCTCATCTTCAATCCAAACTTGTAAAAGTATTACTCGATAGATAAGATTGGTTATTGTCAATAATGGATGAAACTTGATAACCATCCTCACAATCCGTGGCACTGCAATTGGATCTCTCATATCTTCCATTTGGGAGAAAGGTGAGAAAGAACTGGTAGCACAAGTGGTTATTATGATAAATTAATTCTGCATGGTGTAAAATAAAAGTCTGTTTCCCCAATACGAACTGGTGTAGAATTCAAAAATAATTTGTTGAAAATATGTGTTAATCAAAGGTTTTGGTGGAGACATTGATTAGTATTGAAATGTGAATTGGTTCTTCCTTGGTGAGACTTGTGCAATGGACCTTCCATGAACTTGCATTAATACTACTATTGGTATTGAAATTTGGCGTGGATGTTCAAAAAGTCGTCGTTTGCCGTGCTTCTTCTTTTTATTTCTTCTTTTTTTTTCTTTTTTCTTTTTTTTGAAAACAGGCAATGCATTTGCCGTGTTTCTGGATCATTTGACGTGGGGAACGGGGACTTCCGTTCACTTTGATTGGTATTGGCATTTGACCGTCGCTTTCCTTACTTGTCATGGTCATTTTCTTCTCATTTGAATGTTGTCCACAAGTGGATGCTTTTTGCAAATATATACATTTTTTAATTTATAAATTCTTTTTAATGAAAAAAATTCATAACTTTATGGCACATATTAAAAGTATATTATATAATAAGTCAAATGGTTGAATTCACTAATATACAAGCAGGGGCGGAGGCAGAAATTTTTTTTAGGGGGGGCAACATATTAAAATTTTCAAAGTTCAGGGGAGGCTAGATAATTTTTTATATACCAATTTATAAGATTTTCAAATTTCAGGGGGGGCGAGCGCCGCCCCTTGCACCCCCCTGGCTCCGCCACTGTATACAAGTATCATCTTGTATGTAATATCTAGAGTTCAAGTGTTTGGGTCAACACTTAAGAATATTGATTTTTTTTTAATGCAGCGAACCGGTGTGAATGATATGTCCTTAAAATTGCTTGAGAAAAGATTAATTTTGAAGTACGCAAAAGTAAATGTCTAATTAATTTTACTTTTATAAAAATAAACAATAGTTTTAAAACTAATACTATCTAAATAGATTTATTTAAACTTTTCATAACATTAAAGGGATAGAAGATTTAACCAAATTTTTATTTTAAAATTTGATATGAAGAATTATTACTCGTATGATATGAGATAACTCACCTTTGTCCCGAACAATCTAAATAATTCAGTGGTAATCTTCTTTCATTGAAAATAAGAGATTTTAAGTTCGAGTTGTATAGCATATAAAAAAGGTGAAATAAGGGATGAGAGATGATTGCCTCTCGTTGTGCAACCAACATAAAATTAAAAAAAAAAAAAAAAAAAAAAACCTCACCCTTGTCAAACCACTTCTCCACCTATTTAGAATTTGAAAAAAAGACTTCCAACATAAACATTCCAATTTCGCCAAAAAAATAATGATCAAATGTTCAAGTTCTTAACCACTAAAAGGTTTGCTAAAAATGTTCCTAATCTTTCATTTCCATTTGTTTGTACCCTAAATGTCTTTATTTCATTAAAAAAAAGTGCCTATGTCATAACTAGACAACGTAAAGAATGGAGGGTATTATGGATTCGGATAGACGAAGGAGATAATTTTTCTCTGTGGTTTCTATTAAAATGTCATCATAGTAATGCAATTCCTTCATCTTTATAGTTTTGGATTTCTAATTTGATTGTAAAAAGGTAATTTTTATGAAATGAAATGCAAGATGATGATATTCAAATAGAAAAATATAATTTGTCATCCACACCAATGCCAACAAAAAGTGAACTTGAACAGCTTCTTATATTATTTTATCTTTGAAAAAGACATTAAATAATATTTACTACTAAAAAAAAAGCTATTTTCCAATGCATTTTGCATTGAAAAACACTCAAAATGTGCTGAAAATTTCTTATTTTTCAGCATTGTGCACTGAAAAATGTTGATGAAAAAAAAATGTGTACCGAATAATTATTTTTTAGTGCAAAACAAGCACTGGAAAAAACTTACTAATATTTTTCAGCACTTAGCACTGAAAAATAATGGTTAACGGTAAACCCATAATGTGTTTTAAACTACCGTTATCACTTATTTTCAAGTGCTTAGCACTAGAAAATAATTGATACTTTATAGGGATAGACATCATTTGCATTGGAAAATGGTTGATACGATAAAGGGATACCCATTAGCACTAGAAAATAGTTGATAAATTAGAGGGATAATCATTATTTTCTAGTGCTGAGCACTGAAAAATAGTATCTAGAAAATTAAAAAAAAATTCATTTTTACATTATGATAATTATATCCAATCAGTAAATATTTACAAATATAAAATAATATTTAATAT